TGGACCTCTTTCTGTAGGTTTTGAATTGTTTCCAATGCTGTATCTATTTTATTTGATTTTTCCTCTAGTACTTTTCTGACGTCTTCCTTATTTTCCTCAACTCCATTATATAGTGTTTTGATACATTTTCTAATCATTTTTCTGAATTCCTTCTCAGTCATTTCCAAAGACTGGCCCTCCTTCCAGTATGGAGGTTAGGTTTACTTCCATCTCATTAGCCTCAGTCACTTTATCTCGTTTTTGGACATGTGCTGATATGATTATCTGCTTCTGTTTTTTGGCATATTCAGGTATTATCTGTGGCCTAATACTTAGATGGGTGTGTAAGTTTGGTATTTTTTCTGCTTTCTGATTTCCTCTAGGTAGATGTGATCAGGATATGGGCTTTCTTTTTCACTCGTCTTCCTGAGAAATTTCAAGATGCCACTTTTGGTCGTTACGATGTAACTCAGGATTTAATTTTAGGCCTGTTTCCTTTTTAGTCTACCTTTATTGTTCTACAATCCCCATGCAGGCCTTTTTCCTAGTGTTAAACAATTCAGGGTCGGCTGTGGCCTTTTTGCGCTGCTGTTTGCTTTTAAGTGGAAACTGCCACTTTAAATTTCGGGGAGATCTGTGCACATGTATAGTAGAACCCTCTGGGGTGGCGGTGGGGTGTCCACTCATGCAGTGGACACCTAGTCCCCAGAATGGAGGTGCATAGCCAGCAAGAGACCAATGAACAGATACAAAAAAATCCAGAATGTACACACCTTTAACTCCACGGTTCTGTCAGGTGTCTGTGGCTGCTCTGATCCTCCCATCGCTTGGTCTCTCCCCAGATAGGGGCTCCCAGAGCAGCTGAGCATCTTGGATTAGGAAGCAATGGATTTCTTGCTTCTACAAATTCCCCTTGCTGTAAACCTTCCAATCTTCTAAATATTCCTTTATATGTGGTTCAGAGTTCTGACACTATCCCCTCAGCCTGCTTGGTCTGGTATTTTGTGTTATTGCTGATGGAGCTCCTCACTGAACTTCTACCCGATCCGCCATCTTGTTTGGTGTCTAGTATGATGTTCTTGATGTTATACCACAACTCTTCTGGTCTTCGATCTTTAGTGTTTAATGTATCAAATCTGTTCTTCAGATAATCTCTAAATTCAGGTGGGATGTATTCAAGGTCATATTTTGGCTCTCATGGACTTGGTTTCATTTTCTTCAGCTTCAGTTTGAATTTGCATATGAGCAATTGATGGTTTCTTCCACAATCTGCCCCTGGCCTTGTTTTGACAGATGATTTTGAGCTTTTCCATTGTCTCTTTCTGCAGATGTAGTCAGTTTGATTTCTATGTATTTCATCTGGTTAGGTCCATGTGTATAGTTGTCTCTTATGCTGTCTAAAGAAGATATTTGAAATGAACAAATCATTGATTTTGCTGAATTCTGTCACGCAATCTTCAGCACCATTTCTATCATCACCAAGGTCATATTTTCCAACTACTGATCCTTCCTCTTTGTTCCCAATGTTTGCATTCCAATCACTAGTTGTTGTTGTTGTTAATTGCCTTCGAGTTGGTTCTGCCCCGTAGTGACCCTGAACAGGGTTTCCAAGGCTGTAAATCTTTACGGGAGCAGAAAGCCTCATCTTTCTCCTGCGGAGCAGCTAGCAGTTTCGAATTGCTTACCTTGTGGTTCACAGCCAGATTTGTAACCACTACGCTACCAGAGCTCAATAAATCTTGATTGCATGTTTCATCAATTTCAGATTGAAAAAGGTGGTAGAATTCTTCTCTTTCATCCTCACTGGCTTTAGTGGTTGGTGCATGAATTTGAATAATAGTGATATTAACTGGTCTTCCCTGTAGGCGTATGGATATTTTCTTATCACAGACAGCATTATACCTCATTCATGACAGATCTGGATATGTTCTTTTTGACAATGAATGCAACATCATTCCTCTTCTATTTGTCATTCTCTGCATAATAAAACATATGGTTGTCAGATTCAAAATGGCCAATTCCAGTCCATTTCAGCTCACTAATGACCAAGATATTGATGTTTATGTGTTCCATTTCATTTCTGACAATTTCTAATTTTCCTAGGTTCATACTTAGTACATTCTATGTTCTGTTTATTAATGGGGTTAATGCTAATAATTAATTCCTTTAACATTGAGTACAACTAATGCTAGTTTCTTCCTGTACTTAAGCAATGAAATTTGAAATATGCTCTCTCTATATAAACTGCCTTATAGTTAAAACTTAAGGAGCTCTGGTAGCATAGTGGTTACGAATCGGGCTGTGAACCTCAAGGTCAGCAGTTTGAAACTACCAGCCACTCCACGCGAGAGAGATGAGGCTTTCTGCTTCTGTAAAGATTTACAGCCTCGGAAACCCTGTTCAGGGTCACTATGGGTCGGATCTAACTCCAGGGCACATTACAACAACAACAACATAGTTAAAACTTGTTTCAGGAAAAAAACACTTAAACGTTTTTTCAGGGTAACCAGTAATTTGATTAGTGAACAATGCACAGTAGTTTCATAGTATTCCTTCTTGCTCTTCTCAATGTTGGCTATTTGCAATTATTTTCTAAGCAAAGATTTCATTTCTTTTTCCAACGGGAAGGTAACAACTTCTTTCACTTGAAACTATTAAAATGGGCTATTGATTACTGGCATCTATAAAAGATCTTAGCATGTAATTTACTGAAGAACGGTTTTGGTATTTATCATGTGTCAGTAAAGATATTCTAGTATCTGTCTTGACAAGATAATTGGATACAATTGCACATCACGCAAACAGAATTGTAGGCACAAGAGAATAAGTGGGTTGGTAAGGGGGAAAGTAATGTTAAGTGAAACTATATTCAGAATCAAGTCAAACACAGATGAACTCTGTTATGATTTAGTTATTGTCCATTTTTAGATAAATCTGTCTTAAATGCCGTGTTTGTTAGAGTCATAGCAATGACATATGCAAGAATTCTTTATAATTTTCAAAAAATATATTCTGTTATTGTTCAAGACATACACAGAAAAAAAAAATATACCAATTCAACCATTTCTACCTATACATTTGAGTGACATTGATTACATGTCAGAAGATCAGCCCTTCCCACTGTCTTTGTCTGTTTTTCCTTCCCCAGTAAAGTAAACTCACTGTCCTCTAAGGTTAGAAGAACTCCCTTAAATTATTGTTGCTCAGAGAGAGATGATATCTGTGTTACAGAAAGAAATCCTGTGGTTATTATTGTGAGTGCTTGACCATTACTAATCAAAGGCAGGCTTCTTGTGTGAAGACAGTACATACTTAGAGTATGGAAAGATTTGGGTATCTGGTTTTACTTTCTCTGCACAACATCTATACATTGTTAATTTAGCATAGAACTGCCAAGCAGAGAAGGGAAAGCCTGTAGATGGCGTGCAGACAGAGAAACAAAAGATAATGAAGGTATGGCATGATCTATATGATCAAGCAGTACAGAGTCTCGTGAGAGAGACAAACAAGTAAATAAGTAGTTTTCAAGTACAAAAGTATTCAGGGTGTGCAAGTAGCTCAAAGGAGGGAATTGGACATTTTCCATAGACAGAAACATTATAAACGCTAGAATTATACTTTAATAGAAGAATGTGATTTCTCTTGTTGTGAAAGTTAGAAAGAACACTTTTTAAATGGTTTGATATTTTAACTTATAGTTGTCCTTTTTAATCTTCCTAAGTGTTATCATGTTGTTGTTATTAAGTGCAGTCAAGTCAGTTCCGACTCACAACCACACTATATAGGGTTTCTGTGGAGTGATGGGTAAAAGTGAACTACAGACCTTGCAGTTCAAAGCAACCTCACAGTCCAGTGCTTATCCTATAGTACTTCATCAGTTCTTAAAACACAGTTTGTACCTGGAGAGACTTCAAAAAGTCCATGAAAAATGGAATTAAAAAATAATGGAATGTTACACAACCTTTTTGAATCCCTCTCCTCTTAACTTTATTTTCAGAAACCAAAGCATGTGTCTTTTGGTACTCTTTGAAAGTGTTACTTTAAGTAAAAAGGGAATCATATTTCAGAGAAGTTCATTTAAAATCATATGGAATCCAACTTTTATGTGGCCAGAATTCTTACTTATTTCCCCCATGTACTTTTGGTGCCACTTCTGGTATCCATAGAAAGTGGGCATTTCTGTTAGTGTTGAGGGCTGCCTTAAAATTAGAGAATATGAAACCTGTCCTGCACAAGGCATTGGGTTTACATTGACAGGAGGTATCATTATTCTGTCGATGGAAAAGCATAAGACCAAGTATTAGCCCCTTGCAAACAACAAATGAAGCAACTAGCACTGCTATAAATTTTTCAATAGTTTCAGTGAATATTTTTATTAGATTACAAAGGTATCTATTTCAGGATGAAAACATTAAGATATTTTTTATTCAAATGACATTATATAAGTAATTCAAGTGAAAGTGTTGTTATTTATATTTTCCTGTTTTAATTGTATTTATATATGCATACGTGTAAAATTTGGGCCTATTAGATATATCAATTTAAGACTCTTGGATATAAAATTTATGTCTAAAAGTTTGTGTTAATTTCTGAGTTCCTGGCATAAGTTTGTTTAGATTTCTGTGAAGTTGTACAGATATAAAGGTTGATGTGAGTACCTGATAAATAGTGGAAGCCACACACTTTCTATCAATCAATGAAGCATCGAGAGGTCTCCCAACTGCAGTTCCTGCTGTGTGAAGTAGTGCTTACTCACAAGGTTACCTAAGACCCACAGGATGTAATGTGTATAGTACAGTGTTGTTGAGTCAATTCCTATGCATAGTGACCCTGTGTAGGGTTTCTGAGGTAAGCATTTAACACACAATTGTTTTCCTTTATATAAGCTGCAGGAGTCCTGGACGTTTATTGTCCTTGATTAGGCAGAAAGAAGGACATTTTGTATGAAAAGTTTCTTTCTTCCAAGGTTTTTTTTTTTTTTTTTTAAATTTTAACATAGGTTCTTTGTCTCTTAATTTCAGTTTGTCCACAGTAGAAATTGAAAATCGAGCCCAAGCTCTTCATCTCTTTGAAACTTTGAAGAGTGATCGTGAAGCGTTTCACAAGCACATGGTCAAATATATTTATCCTGCTATTGGTGGTTTAGATCATGAAAGACTTCTATATTATTTCACTCTTCTGGAGAGCTGTGACTGTGCAGCTTTTGGAAAACATGCCATCAAACCAGACACCCACATTCGGCTTCTGAAGAAATTTAAGGTAGTTGCAGCAGGTAAGGTAATCGTTTTCTTGCCTGGACTCATTCTTTCTATTATACTTAAGGATTCATTTTATTGTACAGAAGTTTTCTTATGCCTGTGGCTGGCATGAATCTGAAACCACAAAATTTTGAAGCTAATTGACTTTAATTATGTTTTTCAATTTCCTTACAGTTGAGGGAATTAAATACCAGAGAAATTAAGAAACTTATTAAAAGTTGAACAGTGATTTATGGTATATACTAAAATCTAAAGTTTTGGAATAGTTCTCCAAATGTTATTTTTCCTGTTGTTGTTGTTTGGTGTCATTGAATCAGTTCCTTATGCACGATGGAATGAAATACTACCAGATCTTGTGCCATCCTTGCATTTGTTACTATGTTTGAGCCAAGTGTTGCAAGTCACAGTATCAATCCATCTTGTTGAGAGTCTTCCTCTTTTTAGCTGACCCTCTACTGAGCATGATAACCATCAAAAAGAGAAAAGAAAGGAAAAAAGCCTAATGTTTTTCCTTGTTGTTGTTAAGGTCCATCGAGTCGGTGCTGACTCATAGCAACCCGCTGCACAACAAAACGAAACACTGCCCGGTCCTGGGCCAACCTCACAATTCTTGCCACACTTGAGCCCATTGCTGCTACTACTTTCACTGGGGGGCTTCCTCTTTTTCTCTGACACTCCACCTTACCAAACATGATATCCTTCTCCGGTGACTGGTCCATCCTGACAACCAGATCCTGTAATTCTACTGTAGAATGACCCATGAATATCAGAGTAGAACATTGCTCCATAGGATTTTCAGTGGCTGACTTTTTGGAAGTAGATCATTAGTCATTTCTTCCCACTTGTCTCTGGGGGACTTTAACCTTTTGGTTAGCTATTGAGTACATAACCATCTGCACTTCCCAGGACTCCCTACTGCCATTAGTTATATTTTATCTTTAAAAATGACAATACTGAGATACTTTAGCATAGGCAATTTAAAATAATTTCACTTAATTGAAGCCTGTATGTTTGGATACCTTAAAATAAGAGCCTTTGAATCTTTGGCAATTTTAGAAATTACAACAACAGAATGGTGTGTATGTATCTTTATGCTTCTAAGTAAGAAATTATATACATTAATGATTATCAAATATATATGACACTTGAATTTTATAACTTCTAAAAATTTATGTATCTTTGATATTCGTAAGAATTTTGAGAGTTTCTTTATTTCAATGTATCAGTTTTTCACTGAATAACCAAATTTAACAACAACCAACCTAGGTACTGGGCTAGATACAAAAGATAATGAGAAAGACTCTGTCCCTACTCTCAAGTAGCTTGTGACTTGGGAAGATAAATTAATAAAATTCAGTTTGGTGAATGCATGGATAGAGGAAAACATAGGTGCTGTGAGGGTTTTGGGCCTGGAGAGTCTGACAGATATTGCCATCCCCACTGTGTGAATGAGAAAACTGAAACACACAAATTGAGTGGTCTGTCTGGGATTGTACAGCCGGTTTAGGTGCAAGCTGGAACTAAAACTCTGATCGTTTAACTGACTGTGTAAACAATCTATTGTAGCTAAATTAGAGTTTTGTTGTGGTGCTGTATGATAAGCACTTGACTTGACTGCAAGATTGGCAGTTCAGACTCACCATCCGCTCCTTGGAAACTCTGTGCAGGATTGCTGTGAGTTGGAACCGACTCAATGGCACTTAACAACAACAAATAGCTAAATTACTAGATATACTTTTTTCATTCAGTCTCACAAAGGGCGATGTGTGCGTGAAAGGGCCTGTGTGTTTATGTTGGAATGAAATACTATTTCTCTCTCTCTCTCTCTTTCTTTTTTTTTCTATTCCAATAGGTCTTAATTACAAAAACCTGACCGATGAAAACATGAGTCCTCTGGAAGCATTGGAACCAGTTCTGTCAAGTCAGAATATCTTATCTATTTCCAAACTTGTTCCCAAAATCCCTGAAAAGGATGGACATATGCTTTCCCCAAGCTCTCTGTACACCATCTGGTTACAAAAGCTGTTCTGGACTGGTGACCCTCACCTCATCAAGCAAGTCCCCGAGTCCTTACCAGAGTGGCTTCATGCCTATGATGTTTGCATGAAGTACTTTGATCGACTCCACCCTGGTGACCTCATCACTGTGGTCGATGCGATTACATTTTCTCCAGAAGCTGTGACCAAGGTAATTAAAAAGATAGCATAACTTGATTCTACTCTTTAGAAGAAACGAAAACTTGTTCTTAAATTCTGTAGATTTTTTTTTTAATGAAATGAACAAATGATTACATATATTTGGTGCTTTATTATTTTTTTTTGCTAAGCATATGTATGTCTGGTGTTTTATTTTTTTTCTAAGCATTTGTTGTTGTTATGTGCCGTGGAGTCAGTTCTGACTCATAGCGACCCTGTACAGCGTTTCCAAGGCTGTAAATCTTGACGGGAGCAGAAAGCCTCATCTTTCTCCCACAGAACAGCTGGTAGTTTCGAACTGCTGACCTTGCGGTTCACAGCCCGATTCGTAACCACTACGCTACCAGAGCTCCTTTATTTGTTGTCGTTGTTGTTATGTGCTGTGGAGTTGGTTCTGACTCATAGCGACCCTGTACCAGAGCTCCTTTATAAGACAATTGAAGGATCACATAGGCTACTTGTACATCTAAATCAGACATGACTTTTCTAATCTACCCATATATTTTATCCAAGTTATGGTTCTCCTAATGTGCATTTCCACAGTAAATATACCATCCTATTCCTGATGTTTCAAGGAGGAAACCAAGGATAGTTTTTAATGGGCAAAGCATGATACATTTGTAAAGAGCATGCATTTGGAGTCTTGAAAAGCTGCCTGTGAGCTGAGGCTTCCATTTGCCAGCTCTCTGGTTTAACCTCAGGAATCTCTGTTTTAACTACTGCCTCCTTCAGGCAGAAACAGTGGCTGAGCCATCTGTGAAGTAGGTTATTATCATGCTTACTTTGTAAGTGAGGAAACTAAGGCTTAGTGAGTTAAGAAACTAACTAACTTATTTAATAATAGAGGATCCACAATTTGAACTCAACCCAACTGTATTGCATCTGAGAAGTCATGAGATAGAACAAGCAGTTAGAGTCAAGAAACTTGGAGCCTTTCTAGGAACTGTAAAGAGGAATGGGAACAGAGAACCGCAAGCAGTTTTAATCTGAGTGGGGTAGCTTGTCATAGAAATATGTCTGTAATGAGAGTAACACTGAGTCTAAATGCCACAGACCTCCCAGGAACCTGATGTTGTTAAATGCTGTTGAGTAGGTTTGGACTCAGTTACTCTTTATGGGGTTTCCAAAGAACAGCTTGTAGGTTTGAACTGCTGACCTTGTTCTCAGTCCAGTGCTGATCCTACAGTGCCACACCAGGAGTCCAGGAACCTGATAAGATATGGAAAAATGTTAAGAGTCCAACAAATAAACATTGCTTTAGAAAATCAAAGAAAAGTGGTTCAGTGGTTCAAAATCGAAGGAAGTACAGGTCCACCTGCTATCTAAAAGTAGAGCATTCCTATGAAACCTTTATAATTTGAAATGGCATAAAGCAAAGACACAATTACCATAAATTTATATGGTAAAATTTTTTAGCATATCGAGACCCAAAAGATAACCTACTTAATCATACCAAACGATACAGAAAATCTAAACTAACAGTAGCATATAGTGTTCAGAGGCATAGTTCAAAGCTCTTATGACATGATGCTTAGATCCTGAGTGTAGTTCCTAGGGTAGATGCTTAGTGATGCACCGTTCCTGCTTGAGGTATACCCCACCTCTTTTAGGACTTCTTGCAGAACAAATGTTGAAGGATAGTTTTGCTTTTCACCTTTTTGCATGAATTCAGTAATGATCTACAGAGCTCTTTTGACTAACAAAAGCAGTTACTAATGTAGGTCTTTCATAAAAGCAAAGTGACATTGAGTGAACTCTTGAAAAGTAGGGGATAATTGTATTGACACTTGGGGAAAGGTCCTGAATGAACGAGATAAAACAAATCCTAGAGTTTTAAATCTACAGAGATTGCTCAAGCCCTGAAACATGTAAGGCGGCTGAAGGGTCTTGAGAAATAAATGGACCAGCACTTAAGATAGAGGAGCCTTCAGTCTAAGGCCATCTTCCCTCTTTGGACCTAGCTATGCTTAAAATATGTTTATGTGAGGGTAGGAACTGAGTCTTGGCCTCCAGCCAAGAATGTCTTTATTGTGAGCATTGAAAGACAGTTCTATACTTTCCAACAATTATTCATCTGCACTTAACTCTAAGAGTAGGGTATAGGGTTTACTCAAGAATTTTAGTTGCTACCATATTTTAAATCACATGGTTTTAAAATTATATCACATTCCCATCACCTTGGTTTCTTTATCATCTACCTCGAGGATGGTTCACTAACCTGAAAATATATGGAACAGTTATGTGTGCAATGTGTTGTATACATGTATGTTTTTTTCTCCTGAGGAAGAGATGCATGTTGAGCCAGTAAAATTTAGTTAATTAAAGCATTGCTTTTTCATAACTGAAATGACATAAACTTAAATATTTTTGTTAAGTGCTGTCCAGTTGGTTTCTACTCAGTGACCCTGAATAGGGTTTCCAAGGTGGCTGGTGAGTTTGAACCACCAACTTTGTGGTTCAAGCCTATCTTGCAGTCTAGTGTTTATCCTATAATTTATAATAAAATAACATCTAAGTTTAAGTGTGGTCCTGTAGGATCAGCACTGGACTGTAAACCACAAAGTCAGTGGTTTAAACCCACCAGCTGCTCCTTGGAAACCCTATACGTGGTCTCTATGAGTTGGAAACAACTCAATGGCACGTAACAACAACAACAGCAATCTCAACAGGTGGTTTCTACCTAGGTAACTGAGGTGAAAGATACATTTAAAATTCATTTTATATATTTATCCTAGCTTTCCTATTTTTCCTCATGTTACTAATTGGCAAGCTCCTAAATTTTCATTTAAAGAGGGAAATTTAAAGTTTGGTTAACCTGCATCTTTGGATTCACAGGACACTATCCTATAGAGAATATAAAACTGAAATTGAAATACAACCCTCACATGTCAGAGGACATATTTGTAAAAGGAAATACAGCTGCATTTGCCCAAATTTGTAAAACACCAGATGTTCCCACAGCTTGTACACTATGCTAAAAATGTAAAATAAGTGTGTACTTTTCATCCACAGTGTGCAGTTTTCAAATGTGTACCCACATTTAATTTAGAACCAAACTTTTAGAAAGAACATGTTAGTGAATTATAGAACTGCGTGAGAGGAATAAACAATTGTTCACATTTTAGAATGCAGGAAAGAATATTCCCAAAATTTGTATTTAGTACCTAACCCATGATAAAATCTCCTTACCCTCAAGCATTCAGTTGCCATTACCAGATTTTTAAGGAATTCTAAGGAAAGTATTCACAAGATTTTATGACATACAGACAGAGTATGAATTTGCACAGAATTTGAGGTGTTAAGATTATAGAAGGGAAAATTATATAAACATTTATAGTAAATTTGCTCCTAATCAAATTGTTAACTTCAGCTGAATCAAGCTTATGCTTTCCCTTTGCTTTTCGAATTCAGCAATTTTTTTTTTCTGAATGAGACAGAGAGGAAATTGGTGGGTGAAAATGTAGGAAATGATAAAAAGAAGCTGAAAGTCAGATGAAAGTTTTTTGGTTAGTTCAAACATATATGGTTGCATAAGCGGGGAGCAGTTACGTAATGACACCTTTCATGTTTTATAGATCCTACTCACTTTCAATCACTGGTATAGCTCCATGGGAAGTATACCTCTCACTTTATATAATGCTGTCTGCAATTTGTCAGTATACTTAAAAAACCCAGGTAATAATAGGATTAGAAGAGGTGTTAGAGCCTTCTTGCTCAGTGCTTCTTGACATGAGCTCATATAGGTAGCTGGTACACTTTATGATTCATGAATCGATGTAAAGATATAATATGGATTCCAGATTGAATCAAAAAGTGTTGAGGCATTTTATATGTGCCATATGTAGTATTTGTTGTTATATTAGACATCAAGATATAAAAGACATACAATGAAGTTGTCTTTATTTGCAGTAAAATCATTTTTTAAATTACTGTAAATGAGAACTGCACGCGTCATGAAATTGGAAATTCTTTGAGGGAAGAAATAGGGCCATTTATGTCTAAATCCTCAGTTCTTACCACATTATAAAGTTGTTGCTCTTAGGTGGCGTCTAGTTGGCTCTGACTTTAGCAACTCTGTCCATAGCAGACTGAAACACTGCCAGATCCTGCCACCATCCTCACAATTATTGTGACACGTAAGCTCATTGTTCTGCCATTGTCCCGGTCCATCTCACTGGGGGTCTTCCTCTCTTTCTCTGACCTTCCACTTTACCAAGAACGATGTCCTTCTCCAGGACTGGTCCCTCCTGATAATATGTCTCAAGTATGAGGGACAAAGTCTCACCATCCTGACCTCTAAGGAATAGTCTGGCTGTACTTCTTCCAACACATTTGTTGGTTCTTCTGTCAGTCCATGGTACTTTTAATATTCTTCTCTAACACCGCAACTCAAATTCATCAGTTCTTCTAAGGTCTTCTTTATTCATTATCCAACTTTCTCATTCATCTGAGGCAATTGAAACTGCCATGGCTTGGTCAGGCTTACCTTAAATCTCAAACTGGTATTTTTGCTTTGAACCACTTTAAGGGTCTTGTGCAGCAGATTTGCCTAACCCATTACGGCCTTTGGTTTCTTGCTAATGCTTCTGTGCGTGTTGATTGAAGATCCAAGCAAAATGAAGTGTTTGACAACTTCAATCTTTTCTCCATTTATCATGATGTTATTTATTGGTCCAGTGGTGAGCATTTTTGTTTTATTTACTTTGAAGTGTAATCTATACTGAAGGCCATGGCCTTTAATCTTCATCAGTAAGTATTTTAAGTCCTTTTCACTATCAGCAAGCAAAGATGTATCATCTGCTTATTGTAGGTTGTTAATGAGCTTTCCTCCAATCCTGATGCTTTGTTCTTCATCATATAATCCAGTTTCTTGAATTATTTGTGCAGCCTACAGATTGAATAAATATGGTGAAAGAATCCAACCCCTGGCACATATCTTTCCTGAATTAAAATCATTCAGTGTTCACTTGTGCTGTTTGAATAACTGTCTTT